CTGGAGGAAATCGTACTACTACTTTACCCAATTCTGCACCGGGTAGATCTATAAATTTTCCTTCCTGCTTACGTTCACTTGTTTTTGTACTATCGGACAAATGTGAACTTTCGCACTCACTTAGCTTAACACCATTGCTTCTTTTGGATATTTTGGCTGCACCAAGTGCTTCTTTTGGCAATGCCTCCAACACTTTTTGAATCAGAGGTTGCGAATTTATAAGGTTATACCAGCGTTGCACATGTTGTGGTATGCCTTTAGCTGAAAGAAACTCATAACGTGCATGCATCTCGTTGAAAAGAGCAAAATCAGCTATGGTTAGCTTGTTCGCTACTAGATAAGTTACAGGGGCAATTGATTTATCGAGAAATGTCAATGCCCAGGAAATGTCATCTTCGCATGTTAATGAGAACGACAACCAATGATCTATTTGGGAACGTTCAATAGCATTTTCTCCATAAAGCTTATACTCTGGAGCCACACGTGCCAGCGCCCTCAACACATCATTATTAGAATGACAAAGAAGCTGGCGTTTGTTTGGAAATTGAAGCGTGGTTTCATTACCCCAGGCAACTTCAACTTTTATAGTCTCGCTTATAAGATGAGCAGTTGCCAAACCACCTTGGAACATAAAAAAGGTAAAAATTATAACATTAACTTTGGTATTGATGAAGTTCTAAATACAACTCCAAAAAAACAATAACTTGAAAAATCCATAAACTTACTTATAGGAGGATTATTTATGTTAGCTGTTAACTTAACTGCCATTTTATTTTCCCCACGAAATAATATTATCGGTCCAATATTATGAAATTTCCAGCACAATATAGTGGATTTTCACTAACACCACGTTTCCACATGCAATAGGTATGGTCAACTCCTTGCATATATTGTTTGCCCTATATAGGTGATCCCGCTAGCAATATAATATTGACCATATAAATATTATAAAACTTACATATTGATTCGAGTCAAGAATGATAGAGAAAGCGATTACGTAATGCGCATGTTTGCATTCAGTCAGCTGTTCTTGTTGACGTCACGGTTGACTTTTTATTCGCCCGCGTCTTTGAATGTGAATTCGAATTGTACTTTCGAGTGAGGTATTAATTGAGAAATTTTATATTTTTTAAAATGCGTTACGGAGTGTTCGGATGCAATAATAACAATGTTAAAAATAGTGGCACGATTACGATTCTTTTGGCGCAACGATTGGAGGGTATAATCTGAAAGAGGATAATTTCTGGATTAAATAATGTATATACCCTTCTCAGACTTATCGTTTACGAGATATTTGTATTTAAAGTTCCACCATTTTATATGCAATTCACTTTTATTTCATTTCATTTTTTCATGTCATGACAAATAACAGTGTTACCACATATTGTGTTCTGTTCATATTTTTTTTTGTCGAACTACTTTCTGCACTGTCGGCCTTCGACCGCGCTTCAAAAAAAAATAACCCTGGTCGGTCCAACACCGGAGTGATCATAGTTCTTTGGTGTCGAACTACTTTTTGTACCCTGGTCGGGCGTGTTCATAGTTCTTTTGTGTTGAAAATTTCGGAGTTTCCATTGGCAATATAAAAATAAAATCGTAAAAATGCCTCTTTATTCGTTCAATAAATGTTATCTCTTAAAATCTTTTTTTAATTCGGAACTCATTAAAAATAAGGATTGCTTCCCAATATATTCATTTGCAAGTTTTGCCACATTAGTAAACAGCTGATTCGAATATTGGTTTTGCAATTGTTCGAAAAGATAAAAATCCAATCAGATTCTGTGACACCATTGAAAATCAGAATTGGTTTGCAATTCTGACAGCTAAGCAATTCTGTCTTGGATTCCACAACACCCCTGGATGTTAACAAATGCAAATATATGTATACTTACATACAAACTAAGTTTTCCTCTTTCCTCTGCTTCTTATCCTAATTATAATAATAAACTTAACAACCAATTTATTCCATTTATTTATACACATACATATATGTATGTTTATAATATTAAAAAAAAAAATTGATGACTTGGAGATTCTCAACAACGACTTACCTGAGAATTTGGCAGGGTACATCTGCCAAAAACTTGGTACAGACAACCTTGAAATTTGTGAAAATTCAGAAAATTGTTCATCTTATACTTGGGTGGATCCTCTTTCTGAAGGAGGATTCTCAAAACCAACAGATATGTGGATGGAGCATATGAGAGCCTTGCGAGCAGTATTTGACGACATAAATGGTGTTGATTTGCATATATGTACAAATTATGTTCAAAACCACTTACATTTAAGTAATTTTGTAAACTGTACCACGAAGTAAAATAACTGTTGTTTTTTAGAGCTAGAATGTATTTTAGGATTCGTTCCTTAAATGAAAACATAATTGAAAATATGTACAGCAAAAAAAAAAATAAAATTTAAAAAGACAATAAATTGATAAAATTAAATACAAAATATTCAATCTTTTCATTTGCATAAATGTATATGGCTCAAAGCAAACACAGCAAAGAGACAAAATGAAATGAATATGTAGGTAAATATTCACTATAAACTATTCACTTATATTAGTGTAAATTTTTAATGATATTCATGTTTTTGTATGCCTGCAATACAAAATTGGTTCTTACTGCGAAGAAAAACAAAGAACTGAAAATCAGCTGATTGTACGTTGGTCAACCGTGACGTAGATGCGCAGAACGAACGAAATTTGAACGCGTCATTGCGCAATCTTTGTTTCTATCACTCTTTGATTCTAGAAAAAACATATATGTGACCTGGTCTACGAAAAGGGAGCGAATGCGAATGCTAGTTTTCTGGGAAACAGCTGTTAAAAATCTCATCTTCCATCCGAATCAACTAAAAAGTGAAAATTTTTTTAACACCTAAGCCCCCTTTCCGTAGACCAGGTCACATATAGGTATCGTGTTGTAATATACAATACTAACGGGGCATCTCGACAGGATAAAATTTATGTTATACTAACTGTCAAACGTATTTGTAAAAAAAGGATCTTTATCCTTGAAGAAAATGCTGCTTGCAAATAGAAGTATATAATTTTTATTAAGTTCTTATAAAAAACATTAATATAAAATTTATGTTAACTTATATTAATTAACGGATGACGAAGGTAGGTAGATGTACGGAGCGCGGTAGATATATGTTGCATACCGGGCCGCGGACGAAGGAAGTACTTTTACGTGGCGCTGCGTAAGATCTAATGTGTGTGTCGAACGATGTCGATGCGGTGCAGTGAAGAAGTGGATGTTGGTGCGCGGCTTGTGTAGATCGAATTGCGTTTTCCATCCTGTTGTCCATCCTTTTTGTTTAGTGGGTAGGGGTACAGGTGTGGTGCGTTGTATTGTAGTGACATCAGCTTTGGTTAATTGCGCTGTTGCATTAGGATGCACTAGTTTTTTCCGGGTTGAGGGGGTGGATGCTTAACTCATTTAAACAATCCTTTTTATTTAAAGAGTTCAAGAGCTTTAAACATGTGCTACATCAGCTGTCTACCGGACGGCATTTCGCAAATGATAAAATAAATTTTCAAAAGCTCAAAACATGTGCTACATCAGCTCGAACCTACCTACCCTTTGTGCAAATGCTCTTGGAAGATTGCAGATTGCAACAATCCTATACCGAAATGTACAAGGGCACGAGAGCACCCACTACAGAATCTAGTGATATATGAACGGCTGATTCGGTCAAATTATTGTAAATGATTTTGTACACGGCTATTGTGAATTGGCGCACCTTCTGCTTACATTTTTAACAAAAAAACTGTAACAAATTTTTATAATTAGATTAGAAATTATAAAATCTATTTAAAATTTGCCTTCTCCAACAATCTAACGTCAAAATATTTTTCAGCGTGTGTAACAAACACCGTTGTATTAGGAGGAAAAATCTGCAATTCTTGCACCGTGCAACGTGCAAGGGTTTTGAAGAGCAAGAGAATAACCCTATTATGTTATGATAACAAATGCCCACATACAGATTTGGCAATGGCAATAGCAATACTTTTGACAGTTACTATAACATAAATTTTATCCTGTCGAGATGCCCAGTTACTGCCTTGACAAACTACTGTCAGAAATAACTGGTTAATTTCACAAGAGTCATACCAGAGTAAAGGCGGATGTCCGAATAAATAGAGAACTAATAATACTGCTTTCTAGTAGATCCCTCAAATTACTTGTCAAAATTGACGGTCGGGACGTAGGTAGCGAGTAATTTGAAAATTCATAATAGTTTCAAGATGCCTTCGTTATTACTGTTGCCGTTGTTGTAATAATTACCTGGTTTTTGTTTGGGTAACATGCTGCTTCGATTGGGTGGAATCATAGTGAGAGGAGTGCTAGAGGTTATAGGGCTAGATCGGCATGCAAAAAGTCGGTTAGAGTCATGCGAGGACTCGTTGAATGCTGAATATATAAGAATTTGGTTTATCGGGTTAGATTCTGAATAAGTAGCAGTTTAACCAGCTATAGGAAATCGTTTAAAATTCCTTCGTTTTGGGAACCGCTTAAAATTCTTGAAAGTTTTGTAGGAAATAAGGAATCGGAAGAAAAATATTAGCTGAGAAAGGCTATCTTGTTGTACGAAAAAAACATTTTTTTTACCTATTTCAACTTTACTTGTTCTGTACCATAAGCTATTCGAGAGACAGAGACATTTTAATTTATTTTTTTAAAAAATTTGATATAATATAATTTGATGTCAATGCATGAATGTATCGAAATATTCATATTCCAGACAATTAAATCACATTTGATTTCAAACCTATTTCATAAGGAGCCCTATGATTTGAAATAAAAAAAGAATGTCAAGACGGCGTTTAAGTTCGAAATATTTAGGGTGTGGTAGTAGTAAATGTTGAGTGTATTGCAACTTGAAAGCAATTTTTAAACGTGTAACGTACTGATTAACGTAGCGTTAAACCTATCTTCAAATCTAACAAAAATGTATCGAGTATCATATTTAAGGTATCGAGTGTTTAATGAGAATACATGTTTTGATTAAAATTATACATCACAACTAATAAGTTAAACACTTAATTTGGAGATTAGAACTTTTCAACAAAAATTCAGATAAATAGGTGATTCAGCTAAATTATATTTTATACGTATTTTTCCAATATTATAAGAAATAGGAACGGTTTTCTTAGTTTCTTCAAGTATGGTGAGTATGGTGAGTAGAATTTAACCAAATAATAATCTGTTGATTTAACATTACATTGCAGATGCTTTTTATGTTATTGTTCAGTCGACAAGGTAAATTGCGTTTGCAGAAATGGTATATGGCTTATCCGGATAAAGTAAAGAAGAAAATAACTAGAGAATTGGTAACCACAATCCTGGCTCGCAAACCCAAAATGTGCTCCTTTCTGGAGTGGAAAGATTGCAAAATCGTTTATAAACGGTAATAATAATAAAAAAAAAGTGGTATTTTACATAATAGGGCTGGGATTTAGAAAGATGTCCATCAGATAAAAAAATTTATACGTATCTACTGACATGGTTTTTAAGATATTTGTATTTAAAGTTTCAAAATTTAACTATATAAAATGCGTCTTTCTCCCATTTATAATGAAAATTACACTTATCTATTTAACTTCTTTGTCTATACCATACTTTATAATAAAAAAAAGGAAATATTATGCCATCAATACAATACTCATCTTTCAGAAATGTTATTATCTTGATAAATCCCGGTGTTGGATCAAGCAGGGATATTTTGATTTTGAAGCGGCGTTGTAGGCTGTCGACTCAAAAAGTATTTGTTTGCGAAAATCTGAAGACTGCTCTATATTAGTTCGACTAGGGAAGTGCAGCCGAAGTCCGTCAACGCAAACGGACCGACCAGGGTTATTTTTTTTAGAAATGTGGCCGAATACAGAAAGGAATTTATCGCGAAAACCAAATTCTATGTTAATTATTTCCTGATGTTGGGGTAGTATTTGTTTTCTTCATTTCTTTTGATTCCTTTGTAAAATATGTAGATAAAGTACACTAATTATTTATTTAACATAAAATAAGTGGGTTGATAAGTAGTAGTAAATTTTTGGAGGATATAGTAGAAAAAAATAAGAGTGTAAAATTCATTATAAATAAAATACCACGTACTTTAAGAGTTGCAATTTTGAACCCAAACCCTTAAGTCAATAAAATCTAATTTTAATCAGTGTCAGTTTGAATGACAGCTATATGCTATAGTAATAGTTGATTTGGATAATAATCCATGCCGAATTTCGTGAAGATACCTTATCAAATAAAAAGTGCTCTTTCAAGGACTTGAGTTTGATCGATCAGTTTGCATGACAGCTATATTCCATTGTTGTTTGATATCAGTTCGGACATATTAGCAGTAACTTAATAAAATAGGAGTAGCAATATTTTGCTAGCAGAAAGAGGAGTAATAACATAATTACCTTGGAAATAAAGCTACTTGAATATTTTATGCAAGTTTTTCGTTTCTGGCTCTCTTACGCATATAGGTAAGTGTTGCAATGAGTGTAATGCATTTATGCTATTAAGCAACGAATTAGTGAAATGTTAGTGGATTTAAACGTTAAAAATAGAACTATAAAATTCATTATAAATAGGAGAAACACGCATTTTGAATAGTTGAAAGTTTTTAACTTTAGATGCAAATATCTCAAAAACCATAAATCAGCGGCAACTATATATATATATTTTCTTAATTTGGAGGACCTCCTCTATCTATACATACTCATTTTAACTCCGAAATCGAGGGATGCTATTCTAAAACTTATAGCTTAAATAATTAAATTCAGCAAACATTTTATTAATTCGTAATCGAAAAATCTTAAAAAAAAGATATACAAATGATCTGAAATTTGAAAAATAATTGAAATGCCACATTACAGCTTATTATCGGGAATATTCTTTCTATTTTATTTTAGATATGCGAGTTTATATTTTTGTTGCGCTATTGAACAAAATGATAATGAATTGTTAACTCTCGAAATCATTCATCGTTATGTCGAACTATTGGATAAATATTTTGGAAGTGTAAGTATCTGAATTATGAAATCAATTATCTGTCTATATAGAGTAGGAAATTTAATCATCGCTACAAATATAATTCCAATTTATCTTATTTTATACCTTGAACATGGTATTTTAAATTTTCCACGAAGTATGTATGTTAACACTCAAATGGAATATATACATATATATATATCTGATATTATACAACTACATATGTATATGTATCAATGATCAGCAGCACAAGCCAAGTCGATTTCACCATACGTCTGTCTGTATGTACGCATAGGTCATCAGTACAACAAGTTTTATCTGTGCAACCTCCGAAACATTCGCATAGAAGAGGTTTTTTAGGCATCTTCTACGATAGTCTGCTTATATGTCTGTTAGACAGTGACCTATTAAGGAGCTAGGACTATAAGTATAACATATTAATCGATTAAATATCAACAGAGGCATATAAATTCCTACTAATTGCAGAGCGCCTGCTCTGGTTAATTCATCTGTTTCACAGTCACCAGGAATATCACTATATTCTGCAACACATTGCCGGGTATTATGGCTTCAGTGTTGTGCTTTTTGTTTGAATACAATTAATATTTTTTTTTTTACATTCACGTTTTAAAAGACACTACGAGTGTAAAAATATAATTATAATATGATGACATTGTAATTTTGGGAGATGATTAGATTAGATACTCAGTATGAATTGCATGAATTTTTCTTACTAAGCATTCTATATTTAGGTTTGCGAATTGGATATAATTTTTAATTTTGAGAAAGCATACTTTATCTTGGATGAGTTGTTAATTGGTGGTGAAATACAGGAGACTTCCAAAAAAAATGTGCTTAAAGCAATTGCATCCCAGGATTTACTACAAGAGGTCAGTACACCAGAAGCATATGACTTGTAGAACTAAAGATATAAAACCATAATATTATTAATAAATGTAGAAGAGAGGGCATATTTTTTATAATAGCTATAGTTATATGTTTTGCATTATATTCTAATTTTGAAGCATTCAAATTTATTATCTGAATATACATTTCCTACACACCAAACTCAACGTTATTCGTAACAATATTAATATTTATCATAACATTCCAAATCGGCTTTCAAGGGATTCTTTACGCCCTCCTTTCATTATTCTAAATGCAACTTTTTTGAAGACTCATTGGTCTCAATAAAGCAAACCTTAAATAATGAGATAAAATTTCAACACTTTTCAAACTTCGACTCCAAGGTAAATTCATACAAGTTGTAAATAAGAATCAAACATGCTATTAGTGTTTGGAGTGCATTTTTTCTGCGATTCTTATTTTAATTTTACGAATATATTCTTCTTATATCTGTTATTTGCTGCAGCTTTCGTCTTTTATGAATTTACCTTACGACATATTAAAGTTTAATTTATTTCTTAAGGGGTTATATGGATGTTCTCGGGCTAAGCTTGGTTCCATTTTAAAAATAAAATATTTTATTCCAAAGATGCATATTTGGGGTACTCACAACATGTCATAAAGCATCGTAAAATCTGAAAATCATAAATTTGTATACTAGTTTAAAAAATGTGTTGTTAGATGGCATAATAAAATAAGTTTACGCAAATACAACTCTGAACGCTATGTTTTCGGATCGTTATAACTTATAACTTTATGAGACTATGTGAAACCCCTTACTGTATTTTGCAAATGTTTTGTGAAATAGGCTGACTTTGGAAACGTTCTACTGCAAAGTATCGATTCGGTATAACTGTAGTATTCATGCATCGTCGATATGCAACAACAAACAACATTGCAAAATGATGCGTTGTATAATTTAATGTTGTGTAACATTTTAAGTACAAAGTTTACTTTATGTTCTGTTAATGCGATCGTATAAAAATAAAAAATTATAACATTTAAATCAAATAGCTTCATTATAAATAATTTCTTCAGTTTGGAGGTAGGATTAATATGGAATTTGTTCATCATTTAAATATTTATAAAAAATAAATTATATTCTTGCCATCATAATTGTGTTTTTTTTTTTGCCAAAATCTCTGAATTTAATGCAAAATTTGATTTTGATAAAGAAAAAAAGCATCAACTTTATTGTGATCTTCGATGCGATGCAATTCAAAACATTATTCAATGTAACAAATATTCCGGCTGCATTACATAAAATTATTTTTTGTTTGAATGCATTGCAATTGACGTTTTCGAAGTCCGTCATATTCAAAACTCGAATCTTTAGTCCCAGACTTTGTAAATTATATCTCGAAGACATGCGCAAATTTTCATTAAGATCGGTGCATAATTCACAAGAAATCTTGACAACTGACTTTAAAAGTATAGTTTCGAGAAGCACGACAGTTTTAAGTGACTGTGTACATAATTGATCTCGGGCGCATACCTGTCCTCAAGGCTGCATCTCCAAAACTATACATTTTTTGAAGCCGCGAAACTCATGTAAACCCTTACCTTATTTTAGATTAAATGAAAAAATGTTGCACATTTGTATTTCACACTATTGAAATGTTAGAGATAATTCGAATTTTAATATATTAAACTATTTACGGATGTTATTAATATTGTTACATAAATGAGTTGATTACATATACATATGTTATTAGATAAATTGTTATATTACTTAAAGGAACTGTATTTATTTATGTATGTATTGACTTCATTGTTATTTCCGTTGTAATGTTCTGCATGCATGCATGCTTAAATATTAAAATTGTCTGCGTGAATTAAATGTTTCTTATAACAAAATATTTATAAATGCCCTAATTTCTAAAAGTAATGCATATGAAGTTCTATTATTTGCTTAGCAAAAATTTTTTAAGTATAATACAAACAATTACCATATTCACTTGTTATTAAAAGAAAAGTGTAAATTTTCATCAGTGTCTATGTTTTTTTGGCATAAAAGCCTTCTACGACAAAATTTATAGCTATATTGTAATATTTATGGCGCAACGTTCAAAAATAAAAAGAACTTATTTGAGTGTATAAACGCGTGACAATTCGTTGTAATTTATTCAGCAGTTATATATTTCATAAATAATTGGTTATGCTTTGTACATTTTTCTTGTTGCAATATCCACCTTTCAGATTAAAAGTATAACTCTTTTAGAATAAATCTTTCGTTAACAGTAATATTCGTGTTAATAATAATTATAATTATGGTCGCAAGGTTTTTGTTTTGTGTTTTTTATATGCTTAATTGAATATGGATTGCACGCTGTATGTAATTATCGAAGCCATCTCTATGCGCTGTTAGTCTCCAATATGCATTTTTCATTAACTGTCCAATTTATGTACATAAATTAAACATATTTATTAACAATGTTTTAACCTCTTTTTATATTATTATAATTCATTACAATTTATGCTTACCCCGAAAAAATGACGAAATCGACCAACTACAACAGGATTTCAATGAGTATTTAAATTAATTTAATATACTTATTCAATTTATTACTTATGCACATTAATGTATAATGGTATTATGTACATAACATACTAACCTTCGTAGGGTTTAATACACTAAGTACCAAAGCTACTGGTTTGGTTAAAGTTGAGTTGTTAATTTGTAAATCTTAAACTTTATAATTTACATATGTACATACATACATAATTATATACAAAGGATCATACGGATAAATAAAAGTATAAACTATGAAACAACAATCTATTAATATCAATACCAAAGCGTCTATTGGACGACAGTCAATTCTACATTGCCGGAATTGCACCGGATTTAATGATGGTATATGCTTTTTTAGCGATCTAATCTCTTTAGATCGGTAAGTAGAAATGTAACAAAAACTCAACCCAGAATTAAGTCTGAGGCAGATGCTGCATCTGAATTTCACTCACTTTGAGTGATAAACGTAGCAACGGAACGAACTCAGCGAGGCATAAGGCATTTACCATCACATGTTACTTTCAATTATGCTAGACAATATTACATCGGTATGCGGTTTCGAAAATAAATGTCGTCATGTGTGCTTTTTGCTCGACTAGTGTCATTTTCGAACTAGTGTAAGAGTGTTGCTAACTAAGCACCCCACACTCAAACGTGACGTTCTGGATATTGTGGCAAGTTAAATTCCTACCTATCCAGAATAGACCCTGACATACTCAATGTATGCCCTGCATGCAACGAGTCTCCGCATGACACTGACCACCTCTTTGCATGCCCTACCCTTTGGTCCGACCCCATCGAAACAGCGCGTTTCCTGGACCTCCCGTTAGAGGACGTCGACGACAACACTGCTAGCCCCTACCTTCCTAAAGGGGATTGAGAAACCCTTAAAACAACAAAAACAACAACTCAAATGAGACAACTACATCAGCAAGTATTGTATAATAAATAGTGCCGACAGTAGACGAAAAAACAAAAAAAACGTATTTCTTTGAAAATTATTCTTGAATTTGCCTTGGCAGGCCAAAATTTACAGCATTCAAGGGGATACACTAGGAATTATCTCAAAAAATCATCTTAGATTAGTTCTTTCTATTTCTGTTTATTTGCTATATTTGTCTTGACGACTGTGCCAGAATCAACTACATATGTATGTTCAAAAAGAAGTTAACAACTATTCCTATTTTTCTAGCTTTTTTAACTTTGTCTCACTTGCTTACGAATACCGAATATAATAACTACTTATGACATTGACACACAAAACGTATGCATGTCTTACATGCAACTAGTTACAATAAACACTATTTCTCATACCCTTCAAACCTACTCATCTGATAACCTGGACCACATAGGTTCGATGAAAACTTTCTCTAATTTTCTAGGGTTTCGATATAACAGTTCCAGCAGAATAATTGTAAAATAATTTTCATTAGTAAATTATTATACTGAATCTACTGTTTGTTTACTTATTTAGTTTTTACCCTGCCGCTACTAATTGTTTATTAAAATCAATTTATTCTCTTAACCGTATTCAGATGATAATTTATTTATTTGTACATCTTATTTATTTTCTTCATAGTAGATCCATATATGTATAAGTAAATGGTCAAGATTTATTCTTGCAAATATTTACATATGGGAATACTTTTACATAAGTACATAGTATACGTAAGGTATTCATTAAAATTCATTACTTGCGGTATAGGATTCATCGATGAAGTTAATGTTAAAAGGTTGAGTAATTCATAGCTTAACTAATAAAAAACAAGTAAGGAAGGGCTAAGTTCGGGTGTCATCGAACATTTTATACTCTCGCATCAACTACCATATTTGTGTAAAGTTTTATTCCGCTCATCATCATATTAGAAGGAAGGAAGTTGTGTACCGATTTCACCCATATTTCGTACATGTCATCAGGGTGTTAAGAAACTATTATGTACCGAATTTCATTGAAATCGGTCGAGTAGTTCCTGATATATGGTTTTTGGTCCACAAGTGGGCGACGCCACGCTCATTTTCAAATTTGAAAGAAAGCCTGGGTGCAGCTTCTTTCTGCCATTTCTTCCGTAAAATGTAATGTTTCTGACATTTTTTGTTAGTCGATTAACGCACTTTTAGTGATTTTCAACATAACCTTTGTATGGGAGGTGGGCGTGGTTATTATCCGATTTCTTCCGTTTTTGAACTGTATATGGAAATGCCTGAAGAAACGACTGTATAGAGTTTGGTTTACATAGCTATAGTAGTTTCCGAGATATGTACAAAAAAATTAGTAGGGGGCGGGGCCACGCCCACTTTTCCAAAAAAATTACGTCCAAATATGCCCCTCCCTAATGCGATTCTTTGTGCCAAATTTCACTTTAATATCTTTATTTACGGCTTAGTTATGACACTTTATAGGTTTTCGGTTTTCGCCATTTTGTGGGCGTGGCAGTGGGCCGATTTTGCCATCTTCGAACTTAACCTTCTTATGGAGCCAGGAAATACGTGTACCAAGTTTCATCATGATATCTCAATTTTTACCAAGTTACATCTTGCACGGACGGACGGACAGATAGACATCCGGAGTTCAACTCTACTCGTATCCCTGATCACTTTGGTATATATAACCCTACATCTGACTGTTTTAGTTTTAGGACTTACAAACAACCGTTATGTGAACAAAACTATAATACTCTCTTTAGCAACTTTGTTGCGAGAGTATAAAAATCGAAGTAAATAAATTAGACATTTGTTTAAAAATTTACGACCAGTAATAGAATCAAGAAGAAGAATAGACTTTGTCCCATATATGTATGCAACCCTCCGTGCAAATAGTTTGGGTAAACAAAACCTACAAAATAATTTATCTGAAAAAATTGGCTTCATTCACTCCCGAAAGAATGTGTGTTGTACTGTGTGATCGTTTTTGTTGTTTACTTTTATAATTAAAAATATGAATATCTGTAAGTGAGTAACACCAACTGTATTTGTAAATTTTTTATTATTATAATATTATATATTAAATTAACTATTACACCTTTTTTAGTTCATTGCAATTGTATTTATGAGTTATGTATGACGCTAAACAAAAAATACTGATAGAATACTTTTACTTAAATAAAATATATGTGTAAATAATATATACTCAAGTACTATATGACATCGACGATTTGATCGAAGCGACCCGGATAAAAATAAACATAATTTTAGATTTTTAATACATTAGTATACTGAGTAATATAAATGTACTACATACAACCTGTTAATGTTAGATTTGCGTTGAAGACTTTGCAGTAGATCCCAAAATTTTATCACCAGTAGACTATGTATTGTCTCTAATTTATAGACTCTTTAATTATTATTATGAATCCAATATTTCCGGACAAGCCGACATCACATTATTATATACTTATTTTATGTAGTTATATTCATTAAACTAAAAATATCGGTTGCTTCATTTAATGCCATCTGTCATATTTGCTTATGTATGGATGAAGAGGTATTATACACTCTTACTTTGTTTTTTTTTTTTTGTGTTTTTTTGTACTTTAGGACGAAGCTGTTGAGGGCACTTTAAGAGACATTGGACTACTGTAAAATGTTGTAAGAAATTTACCATATAAATACTAAAATTCCGATCTTGTTTTGAATTTACATTTAGTAGTTTAATGATAAGGGTCATTTAATAATTTTAATATTGTATGTACATATATATAAAAATAATAAAGCGAATTAAGAATGGTTTTAACGAAATCAAACCGAATATCTGAAAATAAAAGAAATTTATTAACGATATTTTTTGTAGCAGTGATTATGAAATACATATGTATGTACATGAACTGAAAGGGTTAGGGGTAGCCAGAGGCACGAATAAATGAGAATTTTTTGCTATTAAATCGTGTTATTTTATAAAAGTAGTAATATAGCATTATTATAGAATGTGTTGACATGAAGCCACGAAAATTTCAACAAAAAAATTAATTTCCAAAGTTATAGTTGTTTGTGTTGAACCAGTTCCAAAAAAGATACTTGCGGCGACAACCATAAGTCCTTGGAGATTCATCTAAAATCAATCGGACAAAAAAAAATAGTTTTATAAATAGATAATACTGGGCCTGATCATCGGAGTCTTATTACCAAAATGGCGGCCTCAAGAAATTTTTGTGAAAAAATCAACTAGAAAGAGAATCAACTGAAAAATTAACTAGCTTAAAAAAATCGAAATTTTTGAAAAAATATCTTTCGATCAGGCCTGAGTTTATTATGTATTCTAAAAGCTGTATACATTTCATTAAAATCTACTGAGCGGTTTTCGAGTTACAGTTGTCACCAGTTCAGAAAACATAGTTTTGAGAAAAATGCGTTTGAAGTTTTATTTGTCGCATAACTCAAAAACTAATTATCGGATCAACATGAAATTTTCAGAGAATATTACGCTTAACGAAAATGCAAAAAAAAATTAATTATTTGAATATTCTGACTAACTTAAGACTTTGAGTACTTTTTGCTTTTTTGTTTCGGTAAAAAGAGATTTTAATCTGTTTCATCAATTGTATTTAAATTGGGGTTTAAAATTGCAAAGGAATGCGTTATATAATTTTTCGATGCCGATTGAATAATTTCTTCATCAGACTCATTATTTTTCCATGGCGATAGAAGTGATATTTCCTTGGCTCTAAAATATTCCGTTTTTCAAAATCATCTGTTACAAATCCGCCTGAGTAAATATCATTGTTCACCTCAATTCTATCTCTAATAGCAATGTTTGAAGTAATAATTACACGCGGTGAGTTCTATGTGTTCAGTTGTTTATAGAGGGTTATATCTTTTCCCCAAAAATTCAACTTAGAGAATCACGTGGCGATTTAAGTTCAGTTTATGGAAGAAAAAATTTATGAAATTTTATTTCTATTGCCAATTCAAAAGTTCCAGTTATAGTGGCCATACACGACACACATGTCGTTCGATCGGTATGTGTGCGATTGCGGTTTACTCGTGTATGGGCTTGTGCGCATTCCGATCCATGTTCACGAAAATGCTTGATTTTTTACGATCGGTGTGCACACATATGTGTCGTGTATGGCGCTATGTGCACACAAAATCTCATTTCTCTCGCCGAACAGAGAAGATCGCGGACGAACAATTTCTAGGTTTTATAGTTATATATTTGAACATCTTTCATAAATTTTTTGGATACAAAATCTTTGATATTCTGCCTTTGGGAAGCAATTTCCCAATGCATATCGCATGTGCATTTTTCGGACGGCGGGTAGGATGCAGGTCGCAATGTCTATCGGAAACAAAAAATGCAAGGAGATTCATATGTTTTAATAATTTATCTTCGAGTTAAACTAAGAAAATTCCCTAAATAAGTGGACAATTTTACAAATGTTTTAAAAATTGAAAAAAAAGTGGTTTTTGACCAAAAAAAAGATTACTTTATGTTGTTTAAAAATATGTTCAAACCTGTTTTTTTCAGTTTTTTTTAGTTTAAATAGAAGATAATTGTATGCCAAAGATAATAAACTTTGCCCCAATTCCATAAGCGCTCATATACATATCTGCTAGACGCTCGGTCACTATTTCCCTTCTAGCTTCTATAATATTTCGAATTCCCATCTATAACTTTGAGGACACATTCTAAGATAATTTTTAAAGAGATTTAAGGAAAAAAAGAATTTATTGATCTTAAAAAAAATGGCAATTTGGCAAACGAAAAGTGATAAATATAAAAATAAAATTGAGAAAAATAAAAGTTGGAATGACTTATTGACGAAATACAAAGAAATATATAAAAGTGCTAGAATAGAAATTATTTCCAAGAAATGTTCCGCTTACCTTACGCACATGTTCCCTGTGTGAAGAACGAACGCAAAATGGATTTACATACAAATGGCAAAACAATTTCATACAGATTGAGCGCACATGTATGGAAACTTCGAAGGCTTTTAAAATTTTTTTCCAATAAAATGAGAAAAATAAGACATAAATGAGCAAAATGTCAACTGGCAAAATTCAAAAGGTGGAATGGGTGAAACTCTTTATTAGATTTAATAATGTTTAATGGTTTAATAATGGGTCTACTGGCAAGAATTTTCAATCGAAAATGTTCATACGATCATTGATACCGTCGATAATCTGCTCAAATTTGACAAGTTTGAAAAATGAAATAAATTGTCTCAGCTTTTTGGTTCGTTTTTACAAATATTTAAAATGGATAGAATAGCATTATATTTGAGTGATAGAGATGATGAAAATAGTGTAAACATTCGTCGTGAGCGTAGAAATTTGAGGAACATTTCAAAAGATGCGTTGGAAAGTGAAAGTGAGTTGAACTATTTAAGCTAAAAAAAATAACATTTTATTTACATACGCAAACAAAAGGGTATTTATATACATTTTGGGGGAGGGCCCATGGCGTTTCACTTTTCTGAAGTGTCTTCCCAAAAAGCATTTATATCCACGGGGGCTCTTTGAGAAAATCCTTTAGCTATGTCTGGGTGAAAATTCATTATATCTACCAGTACTTCAAATTGAT